AACTTTTTTCAAAGAAGGCCAGATTTGATGAAGTGAAGGGCCAAAGGGCCAACCAAAGTTGTTATCGTTTTGGGTTTTTTTTAGGACTGAAGTTGTTGAGCTTTTTGTATGATTCTATCCCAAAGTTGTTGTGCTTTTAGGATTGAAGTTGCTGAGGTTTTTTAAGGATTTTACCCCCAGGAAATAAACTGCCACAGGGGCTGGATTGAACTGACTGGCGGGCCGGATTAGGCCCCCGAAATGGACTTTGGACATGCCTGTTCTATGCCAATAAGCTAACATGGTGCCCTTTAGATATTGAGCAAAAACTAGCCAGGCAGCTGCAAGAAGGTAGCAAATAAGAGGCTTTAGATGACCATCTCCAATGTTGTGTTGGGGAGGGGGAAAGTTTAATGGGGCTAGTTCTAGAGATTTTGATGGCTGCCGTCCAGTTATTTTAGTAACTTCTGCAAAAACCACAGTCCAAAACTGTGGTGCATTTTTTTTCCACAAGATGAAACAGCACTGGTTACAAAGGATGATGATGATTTATTAAATCTGTATACTGCCCTTCATCTGTAGATATCAGGGTGGGTCGCAACTTTAAAATACAAGATAAAAAACACAAAATACATACAGTCATACCTCAGGTTACAGACTCTTCAGGTTGCGTTTTTTCAGGTTGTGGACCGCCGAAACCTGGAAGTACCGGAATGGGTTCCTTCTGAGTTTTGGCAGTCACGCACGTGCAGAAGTGCTAAATCACATTTTGCGCATGTGCAGAAGCACTGAATCAACCCGCGCATGCGCAGATGTGCCGCTGCGGGTTGCAGACACTGCGGCTTATGAACGTGCATCCCACACGGATCACGTTCGTAACCCAAGCGTCCACTGTAATGACATGGATCTAGAAAATCAGTGTCCTCCAAGGGCGCTTGGATTTGGTTTGCAACCACCTGCTCAAGAATCTTGTCCAAGAAGAGGAGATTAGCAAACTGACCAGTAGTTACTTAGATTTTCCAAATCCAGGGAGGGTTTCTTGAGGAATGGTTTTACCACTTCCTCCTTCAAGCAGTCAGGGACCACGCCCTCTTGCAAGGAGACATTAGTCCCCTCCCTGGCCCAGATAGCTGTCCTTTTCCTGCTAGTTTTTATCAGTCTAGACTCTAGAGGGGCAAGGGTCCAGAGTGGTCACTCTGATTGATCCAAGCACCTTGTTCACATCCTTGAGCCTTACTAACTGAAACTCATCGAACACAACAGGACAGTGCTCTGGACACCCCATGGAATCCATCTGCTATAAGTGGATTATGGCTTCCCAGCTTGACCTATATGAACCCCATATTTGCAGCTAATATTCCCTAACAATTGGGAGGAGGGGGGAAGCATTAGTCATTGTGAGGGAGATAATCTTGGACAAACAATTGAATTAAGAAGCAAACTGACCTCTCCTTCTCTATCAGTTTTGCTTCAGGTCTCTCCTAATTTCATACATCTTGGAAGGAAGCCTTAAAGGTTCTGTGTAGGCAAACCTGAGAGATAGATGGATTGGTTCATTCCCGGTACTAGTCAATTTCAGTTCTACTGAAGTACAAGTAGTCTATTGGGAAATCGAAAAATGCAAGATCTAGTGGATAATTATATTCCCATCTACTCATCAGTCTGAGATCATGTAAAGTGGATCATGTAAGTTCACACTGGAAGTCATGGAAATTAGATGCATGCCATGTTGTCAGCACATTGAATGATTATTCTGGACAGCAAATAATAATAATAATAATAATAATAATAATAATAATAATAATAATAATAATAAATAAATAAATAAAATAATAAAATAATAAAATAAAAATAAAATTTTATTTATATCCTGCCCTCCCCAGCAAAAGCAGGGCTCAGATCAGCTAACAGTAAAAATAACACAGTTTACATAAAATCACAATTTTTTGAAATTAATTAATTGAAATACATTCTAAAATCAATACATTCTAAAATCAATTCAGAGTCAAATTAATGGCAACCATTTGGGCTAGAGTTCTATGAGGATTACAGAAGGAGGGGTCAGACAGTGCCTTGGCCAAAGGCCTGGTAGAACAGCTCTGTCTTGCAGGCCCTGTGGAAAGATGTTAAGTCCCGCAGGGCCCTAGTCTCTTGTGACAGAACGTTCCACCAGGCCGGAGCCAGTGTTGAAAAGGCCCTGGCTCTGGTTGAAGCCAATCTAACTTCCTTAGGGCCCGGGACCACTAGGGTGTTGCTATTTATGGACCTTGAGGCTCTCCGTGGGGCATACTGGGAGAGGCGGTCCCGTAGGTACGAGGGTCCTAGGCCGTGAAGGGCTTTAAAGGTCAAAAGCAGCACCTTAAATCTGACCCTGTACTCCACCGGGAGCCAGTGCAGCTGGAAAAGCACTGGGTGAATATGCTCCCATGGCAGAGACCCCGTGAGGAGCCTCGCTGCAGCATTCTGCACCCGCTGGAGTTTCTGGGACAGCTTCAAGGGCAGCCCCGCGTAGAGCAAATTACAGTAGTCAAGCCTGGAGGTGACCGTCGCATGGATCACTGTGGCCAGGTCGGGGCAGGAAAGGTAAGGGACCAACTGCTTGATGTGGGCCTTGCCTACTCCCACCGCAGCAGGAAGAGGGGAAACACTTCTAACAGTTGCTGCTTAGGGCAAAGGATCTGCCCTTCTTCAGTCTATCAAATCTAGGAAACAGCATCCCCAACCTTCAGGCCCTGGTATTGACCCAATCCCCTCCTCAGACCCTCCCCTCCTTGGAGCTCTGTCTGTTGTTCTCCAGTTTGGCTCTGCGGGCTCAAATTCTCAACTCTGAATTCTCAAACTCCAGAACTAGGCTGGGGGCATCAAGGACATTTCAATCCTCTTGACACAGATGCAAAGGAAATTACTGTGCTTGAGGGAATCCTTGGCAGCGAGTTCAGGCTGGCTGGGAGATGGATAGGCACCGAATGTATTGTTCTGTACTGACCCAAAAAATACCAGGCAAGGAAGCGCAGCGAGATCATCCTCTTCCTGGGCATGTGGAACAGGTAGACGGTGTCAATCACCTGGTCCCTGGAACCTGCAAGAACAGGCGAGGTCCAGTTATGTTCTGGGAGCATATGAGTCCTGAAGGCACTCAGCTAAACAGTCCTAGACTTAGAAAAATTCCAGACAGAAGCATAACACTTGCTGCTTTTTATGGTCCCATAAAAGTTTTGTTTGTTTGTTTTTTGAAGTTTTATTCGAGTTCAGGATTTTTACATACATTATCTCCTTCCAATTTTAAATTTCCCTTACAATTTTTTTCTTTCCCTCCCTTCCCACCCCCCCACCCCCCATATCCATTGGAAAGGTTCAAACTATTATCCTCAGCCACGGGCATAGCGTCTTTAGTTTCCCACCGAATGTCTTTGTTTCAGTAGTTTTTATCCACTGAAGATAGATCTGTTCCTTATCATGGTGGACTTGATGGTCCCATAAAAGTTTGCCAGATGAATGGCTTATTTTGGCACAAGCATTTAGAGGCAACAATCTATTTCTGTGGTTTCTGAATCTTCCTACTGTCAAGAAAGCCTTTCCCCACTGATTTGTCTGCTAAGAAATCCCTGTGCGCCCCCTGTACATTGTCAGCTCCTTCACATACAGAGGCCCAAACATATATACATGAGGGACATATATGTCAAGGTTCAAAACGGAGGCAGTCACCATGATGTTGATGACCCGGAAGTCTTTTTGGCAATCCATGACCCACAAACTTGACCCCGACATCGATGAGGAAGCGTAGTTTCAGGTAGGTGGATTTGAGGGTGGTGAGGTGTTTGGAGGAGATTTTGGCATCCAGATCCCCCGGCTTTATTCCAGAGTATTGAGTGAGGTAATCCACCACCTAAGAAGGGGCAAAGGAAGATGGAAAGGAAGAAAACATTGCATTCAATGCCAAGGCTTCTTTTAGTTCACAGAGAACGACAGCTCATTCTGTTAGCTTGGAGTAGGGAAACATTTTTAATCTGCTGGCCATGTTCCCTTCTGAGCAACGTCTTGGGACCACGTGTCAGTGGTGGGTGGAGCAATGCGTTGAGGCAAGCAGGAGGCTTTGTCTGGCAAAAACACTCAAGGAGGGTGAGGGGTGTGGCCTATGGAAAGTCCCAAGGGCCAGACAGAGAGGCCTAGAGGACCACATTCAGCTCCCAGGACCCCTGACAGTTAAGTCCAGTCGTGAACGACTCTGGGGCTGCGGTGCTCATCTCGCTTTACTGGCCCAGGGAGCCGATGTTTGTCCGCAGACAGTTTTTCCGGGTCATGTGGCCAGCATGACTAAGCTGCTTTTGGCAAAACCAAAGCAGCGCACGGAAACGCCCTTTACCTTCCTGCTGGAGCGGTACCTATTTATCTACTTGCACTTTGACATGCTTTCGAACTGCTAGGTTGGCAGGAGCAGGGACCGAGTAACGGGAGCTCACCCCGTCGCAGGGATTTGAACCGCCGACCTTCTGATCGGCAAGCCCTAGGCTCAGTGGTTTTAGTCCACAACGCCACCCGTACCTCCCCGTGTTAGCCCATCCCAAACAGCTTTCTGTATGCCCATCCCTCACCATCCAGGACTGTGAGGACAAGGACTGGACTTCACAGCACAGCTACTGCCACGTGGAATGGAGATAACACTATCCTATCAAGGAAAGTTCTTGAGATGAAGAGAGCAGGGGACCAACTTGTCTAAAGCCTCCTTAGTAGGGAGAGCCAGGATTAGCTCTGCAAGGTTTGCACAGAGAAAGCTGCCTACCTGTTCTTGCGTGGAAATGTAATCATCGATGAAGGGAACGCCCTCGTTGGGACCCTGCCCCCTCACACACGTAATCCTGGCCACCGACATCTGACTGGGCTTGATAGTGGATTTGGTCCCGTCACTGCGAAGCTCAGCCTCCTCCTAGTGCGTATTTTCAAGGGGTGAACGAATTATGTTGTGTGGCCTCCTCACAAAGAAGAGCTCCCATTGGCCCTATGAAGAGGCCGCTGCTCAAAGGCTCAAAGGCCTACAGGCGAGAGGTTCAGGAACTACTGCAATGTGCTCTACGTGGGGCTACCTTGAAGGTGACCCGGAAACTACAACTAATCCAGAAAGCGGCAGCTAGACTGGTGACTGGGAGCGGCCGCCGAGACCACATAACACCGGTCTTGAAAGACCTACACTGGCTCCCAGTACGTTTCCAAGCACAATTCAAGGTGTTGGTGCTGACCTTCAAAGCCCTAAACGGCCTCGGCCCAGTATACCTGAAGGAGCATCTCCACCCCCATCATTCTGCCTGGACGCTGAGGTCCAGCACCAAGGGCCTTCTGGCGGTTCCCTCACTGCGAGAAGCCAAGTTACAGGGAACCAGGAAGAGGGCCTTCTCGGTAGTGGCACCCTCCCTGTGGAATGCCCTCCCACCAGATGTCAAAGATAACAACTACCAGACTTTTAGAAGACATCTGAAGGCAGCCCTGTTTAGGGAAGTTTTTAATGTTTGATGTGTAACAGTATTTTAATATTTTTTTTGGAAGCCGCCCAGAGTGGCTGGGGAAGCCCAGCCAGATGGGCGGTGGGCGGGGTATAAATAAATAAATTATTATTATTATTATTATTATTATTCCAGTCCTCCCAACTGACCTCCCCCCTCTCCCCACAATGCAATGCCTACCTCGTTGAGGGTGACAAATTCAGCATCCAGCCCCACCAGGTCCCCCACCTGGGGCATCTCATTCAGCATGAGCGGGATGAAAGTGGCGTGACACTTGCGCTGCTTACGGGCGAGCGAGGCCTCGGCAAGCAGCACACTGGCTTCGATAGGGTTCTTAACTGAAAGAGGGAAAGAAAATCCGAGATCAGCTGTCGTGCTCAGTTCCAGGATGCCTTCTGAGATGGCAGTCTGAATGAAGGAAGCAGCCCAGGGGAGTCCCACAGGAGGCCTCGTAGCGACAAGCTTCTTCTAATACAGTCATACCTTGGGTTAAATTTGCTTCAAGTTGTGCACGTTCGAGTTGCGCTCCACGGCAACCCAGAAGTAACGGAGCACGTTACTTCCAGTTTTCACCACTTGCGCATGCGCAGACGCTCAAAATGACATCACGCGCATGCGCAAAAGCGGCGAAAACCGACACGCGCATGCGTAGACGTGCCGTCGCTAGATACGTTTACCTCTAGATGCGAACGGGGCTCCGGAACGGATCCCGTTCGTATCTAGAGGTACCACTGAATACAGTTACAGTCATACCTCAGGTTACAGACACTTCAGGTTGCGCGTTTTCGGGATACATACACGCCAAAACCCGGAAGTACCGGAACAGGTTACTTCCGGGTTTCGGCTCTCACATATGTGTAGAAGCACTAAATCGCACTTTGCTCATGCGCAGAAGCGCTGAATCGCAACCCACACGTGTGCAGACGTGGCACTACGGGTTGTGAACGTGCCTCCCGCATGGATCACGTTCGCAACTGGAGCGTCCACTGTATATCCAATTTCTCAAAAACAGTGTAATCAGCAAGAAAAAAAAAGGCTGGCTTATTCAAACCTATGCGAGGAAGACAGGGCCCAGAACAGTTTAAAGGAAAACCTGCCAATATCACAGGGCCAATTCAGCTAGAGGATTTACAGTAATGAACCACAATACGTTACAAGTTCAGGATTTTCCTGTTAAGATCGTATCCAGAGCACAGGTGTCCCAGCACTGAAGAGGATCACAATCGATCCCTTCTGACACAGGAAACATGCCAAAATGGATCCGATGGTATATAACCAAGCTCTGTCAAGCAGATCAAGTTTACATTCCAAATTATTCAAGACGCACGGACACTGTACAGCAGAAATGCCAAAAAACATTGGTGCCTGCGGAATAATCAGGACACCTGGGGCTGTGTAGCGAAGTCGTCAGTTTTACACAGTGGCATGGGAGCTACACCAGGGTGCCAAAGTTTCACCCCAAAGCAGTGGTTTCTGGTCTGCATCAGAAACGCAGACGATCCTTTTCGTGATGTAGTGATGATCAGTCGGTTTCACTTCCTCTTGATTTCAACACAGTTCCTTGCAGAACCCACTCAGCTTTGCCCCCTTAATTTCTGTGGCATATGACTACCTCACAACAACCCATCCCTTGTGAAGGAGGGGAGAGCTATTTTGCTTAGTGTTAAAGGGATGTCTCACCGGAATTTCCTACTTGGCATCAGTATTAGGCAAAACAGGGAGGGGACAGCTGTGGAGGTCAAGATATGGGGGCACAGGGGCTGTGAGGAAGACTGACAACACAGGGCCTGTTTCAGCCACAAAACTATTTATCGACAGGGCAGAAACAACACTTTCCTCCCTGGTCAATGAAGATTCAAAAGCAATGGCTATATTATCATATGAATACATCAAATATGTGAATAACGGATCAAAGATGAATAACCAAGTGGCGATGCAAGACACTGCCTGCACGGGGAGAAAAAGAAACAGGCACCATATTTTTTTGCTCTATAAGACGCACCAGACCATAAGACGCACCTAGTTTTTGGAGGAGGAAAACAAGAAAAAAAATATTCTGAATCTCAGAAGCCAGAACAACAAGAGGGATCGCTGCGCGACGAAAGCAGCGATCCCTCTTGCTGTTCTGGCTTCTGGGATAGCTGCGCAGCCTGCATTCACTCCATAAGACGCACACACATTTCCCCTTACATTTTAGGAGGGGAAAAGTGAGTCTTATAGAGCAAAAAATACGGTATTTCCTGAGCCACACTGTGATGCCAGGCTTGCTACTGGAAAACAGGCAGAGCTATATCTAAGGAGCTCATTAGGTATCAGCTCTCCACCAATGTTTGGAAGCAAGGCCTGTCCGTGTTGTTCTGACCTGGTTATGTTGCTGAGCAATGCAATACCAGCACTGTCTGTCCATACTCCACCAACCATGGTTGGAAGGTGGAGCATTGGTTTAAGAACCCTAGCTGCCCTGGGAATCTGCAGCAGGCCATGGTTGAACCTGGTTCTGCTGAGCCCCAGAGTAGTATTCTCAAATTATTATTTTTTTGTTCCAGAGTCCAGCTCTTTCCATGTAGTCAAAGGCACACATGCACACGCACTCACTGGTTAAATTGTACTTGGAGTGGAGGTTCCTCCGCACGTAATAAAGGATTGCAGGCACCTTCCAGCTCATGTCGAATTGCACGGCCTCACACTGCAAATTCAAAAGCAAATAATAAATAAAACAACAGCAATGGGAGCATCATGCGCATTTGAGTTGTGTGTTCTTCTGGGGTTGTCTTCTTCCTTATTGTTTGTTCTTATCCATCAGAAAAATATGCAACTTCTCCATGGCAAAAAACAGGATGCATTCGCATTATCTTAATGTACTTCTTAATGTTTCTTACACTGTGTAATTTTGCGCTAGAATGGGTGCCTGACCCAATTGTCTTGTAAATGGAGACATATTAGAGGTTTTTAAAACGAGCTTTTAGCCCTTGTAACTGGAGAAATAGTTTGGAAAAGTACACGGACCACCTCGAAAAAGGCTCTGGGCTTCTGTTAGGGAATCTCCTATGCTCTGCATTGGGCTGGGGAATCTGTAACCCTCCATGAATGTTGACGACTGGGGCTGGTGGGAGATGGAGTTCAACATCTGGAAGGCCACAGATTCCTGCCTTTTCCCAACAGACATTCCCCCCCCCTTCCCTGCAAAACCTCTAGGGCTGTTGCCTCCGCTCCACACCAAAAAATTCTGCAAAATGTGAGGTTCAGAAAAAGTGTGCAAAGTGAACTTGATGCAAAAAAAAAAAAAGAAGCTTATTTACATACCTGTTACTTATAGAAATTGAGAGCACAGAGTATGAATCGTCTTGATCTCCTTACCTTATCCACAGGCTCAATGAGAAAGTCATTGAAAAGGTACCACTGTTGGTGTGTGACACCCTGTGCAAATGGAAGATGCAAGATTTGTGTCAATGGATTACCATTTTCACTTACACATAATGAATGAATCAGAGTCACACAAGTACGACTGCCTATAGCCAAGGCAGCTCTGTGACAAATATGACAACAGAAAAACAAGGGGATTCTCCTAAGGCAGCCTTCCTCAATCTGATGCCCTCCAGATGTTCTAGTCTATAAATGTCATCAGCCCTGGCCAACATGGCTGATAGTCAGGAATTATGGGAGTTGTAGTCCAAAACATCCGGAGGGAACAGACATGGGAAGGCTGTAACACCATTGATAGGATATGAGAATCACAGATTGGTGAATGCAAAGTTCAGTGGGCTGTACTCTCTTCTGATTGGCTCACCTCCTTCCTTTGGTGGTAGGTCTCCCCCACTTTTATGTGCCCCACCAGGCTGCCCCCAGTCCGGGAGTCCAGAATGTGCACAATGGTTGCCATAAGGTCATAGACGTACGTTGATTCCTGGTCATCCAACACAGTCAACTGCAAAGAGGAAGAAAAGTTCATCAAGTAGCTAGATTTCTTTTCAGTTATTTTAAGCGGCAAGACAAAACAAAACTGGCAAACACTGACACACTGTACGCCGGGCCTTTAAATTCTAACTCCAGGGATCCAGCCTTTCTGAAATCCTGTTTTCTTTTTAGCAATGGCAGCACAAACCAGGATGATGTCCCCCAGGCTAATGGACCACCTTGGGTGTTCATGGACTACTTTAGGCAGATTCTCTCACAGCATTTTAAAAATTAAATTTTAAAAAAATTAAAATTATTTTTAAAAGGGGGGTGGAAAGAAAAGGATTATAATCACTTCCGTATTAAATATTTTTATCAAACAAGCCTGGCTGAACCTGCTCACACAGATAGACACCTATTTGAGATGTATTTTGGAGTATGCTATTGGATCTGCATAAGCCCTGCTTTCTGTTCATCCTGCAGAATGGGCCTTTTCCTTCCTTCCTACCTTACCCAGAGGGATCATTTCACCTGCTTTACAAAAAGTATTCCCAACATATGAAGTGCTACCATGTCCACTAATCTCTGGGCTAAACTAACTCCTTCACTCTTCCTCATATGACTGAGGAGCTGAATCAAAACTTTTGAAGTCGCAAGAGGCAGAACTTCTGAACTGCAAGAGCCACTTCACAGGTTGCAGGAGCGCATAGTAAACGTGTGCCTGGGAGCTTCCCGGCGTGTATTCTACAGTGGTGCCCCGCAAGACGAATGCCTCGCAAAACGAAAAACCTGCTAGACGAAAGGGTTTTCCGTTTTTGAGTTGCTTCGCAAGACGATTTTCCCTATGGGCTTGCTTCGCAAGACGAAAACGTCTTGCGAGTCTTGCGATTTCCCCCCGCTTTCCCCCCCCTTTTTCTAAGCCACTAAAGCCGCTAATAGCTTTTTAGCCGCTAAGCCGCTAAGCCGCTAAGCCTTTAATAGCCGCTAAGCCGCTAATAGCGCTAATCCGCTAAGCGGGTTGCTTCGCAAGACGAAAAAACCGCTAGACGAAGAGACTCGCGGAACGGATTATTTTCATCTTGCGAGGCACCACTGTACTTCATATTTTCATTTACCCAGCCCTCCATTTACAATCTCTGCTGCTGCATCAGCTGTTAAGTCACTGCCTTGAAAGATCGCATGACATTTGTACAGGAAGGGGCCAAAACTGGCTCTACATTCTTCCATCCAACAATTAAAATAATTCTGTACAGAGGTAGCAAATGCCTCTGCACACCTGGAGAGGCTGCCCTTAATGGTATCAAAGTGAGCACAGCACAGAATTCCTGAGAAAGCATTTAGAAACCAGGCACTATGGGGCGTCTTTCTTGCCAGAAGTGATGACATACTTCTGTGCTTTCATCCCAGTTGTAAACCTCCAGTTCCTTGTTCTTGGAGAGCTTCATCTTGATAGAATAAGGAATCCAGACGTTCTTCAGCTCTTCAATGGAGGTATAAGAATGCCCTCCCTCTGCCATTCCCAATTCGTTCCTGGAAGGCAAGAAAACACACAAACAGGAGGATTTGTACAATACAATGCAGTCTGAGCTTTTCTGCAAGTTGTTTATCATCATCAATCTTTATTACAGTCCAGAGACCCAACAAATCGTTACAAAGCAATGCACAAGTTGTTTATACAGAATTCTAGATAGCCTAAATATGATGTTCCACGTTTCCCAATCTGTACGGTCATTGTCATTTTACTGCTGCAGTTTTCTGCTCTGTGCCCTTTCCGCTGCATAACGTAGTAAAGACAAAACGGAGGTAGACGTGATATCGCCTTTCACCCGTTAAAAAAAAAAATCGCTACAGGAAGGTAAGAACACAAGTAGTACTGAATTGGTAAAGGTAAAGGGAACCCTGACCATTAGGTCCGGTCGTGGTCGACTCTGGGGTTGCGGCACTCATCTCGCTTTATTGGCCGAGGGAGCCGGCGTACAGCTTCCGGGTCATGTGGCCAGCAGGACTAAGCCGCTTCTGGCGAACCAGAGCAGCGCACGGAAACGGCGTTTACCTTCCCGCCGGAGTGGTACCTATTTATCTACTTGCTCTTTGACGTGCTTTCGAACTGCTAGGTTGGCAGGAGCAGGGACTGAGCAACGGGAGCTCACCCTGTTGCAGGGATTCGAACCGCCGACCTTCTGATCGGCAAGTCCTAGGCTCTGTGGTTTATCCACAGCGCCACCCGCGTCCCTTGACTGAATTGGAGAGAACAAAAAGAGAAGAAGACTTTTCTAGACAAAAAAAGGAGAGTTTTTATTCTAGGAAGCACACCTAGATGATAAATGCTTACCATTCCCCAACAGGTATTTCTCTACTTTGGGGGAGTTCCAGACCACCCTTCTTCATCATCAACTTCTTAAAGGCATACTGAAAATAAAAGGTAAACTAGAAGTAGAAACATCTCTTTTTTATCTTTTTTAATAAGTCTCCAAAAATATTCCAAAACGTTTATCACTGTATCCAATTTCTTTTTCAACACAAACTTTCTTCTTGACTTCCCACCCTTCCCTTCCTGATGTTTGTTTTTTACTTCTTTTTATTAGCTGTTTCACAACACATGTTTTATCTAAGCTTCCTCGTCGTTAGTTCTTTCAGTAATCCACTGCTTATATTTCAAATATCTCAATAAATGTACAGTGGTACCTCAGGCTAAGTACTTAATTCGTTCCGGAGGTCCATACTTAACCTAAAACTGTTCTTAACCTGAAGCACCACTTTAGCTAATGGGGCCTCCCACTGCTGCGCGATTTCTGTTCTCATCCTGAAGCAAAGTTCTTAACCTGAGGTAATATTTCTGGGTTAGCGGAGTCTATAACCTGAAGCGTATGTAACCTGAAGCGTATGTAACCCGAGGTACCACTGTACAGTCAAATGCCGAGTGATTTCACTTAACGCAAAACCCTGACTACCTCCTCATGCCAGTTCCAGGAGCGAGTCAAGATGAGGGGCCAGGTGGAATGTTTAAAAAGGGTAAAGGACCCCTGACAGTTAAGTCCAGTCAACGAACGACTCTGGGGTTGTGGGGCTCATCTCGCTTTACTGGCCGAGGGAGCCAACGTTTGTCCGCAGACAGTTTTTCCGGGTCACGTGGCCAGCATGACTAAGCCGCTTCTGGCGAAACCAGAGCAGTGCACGGAAACACCATTTACCTCCCCTTCGGAGCGGTACCTATTTATCTACTTGCACTTTGACGTGCTTTCGAACTGCTAGGTTGGCAGGAGCTGGGATCATACAACAGGAGCTCACCCCTTCATGGGGATTTGAACTGCCAACCTTCTGATCGGCAAGCCCAAGAGGCTCAGTGGTTTAGACCACAGCGCCATCCGCATCCCTAGGTAAAATGTTATACTGTGCCAAATAGAAGGTAGGTAAAAGGCAAAGGACCCCTGGACAGTTAAGTCCAGTCAAAGGCAACTATGAGATTGTAGCGCTCATCTCACTTTTCAGGCCAAGGGAGCTGCCGTTTGTCCACAGACAGCTTTCTGGGTCATGTGGCCAGCGTGACTAAACCACTTCTGGCGCAACAGAACACCGTGATGGAAGCCAGAGCAGCACATGGAAAAGCTGTTAACCTTCCTGCTGGAGCAGGACCTATTTATCTACTTGCACTGGTGTGCTTTCGAACTGCTAGGCTGGCAGGAGCTGGGACAGAGCAACGGGAGCTCACCCCGTCATGAGGATTGGAACCGCTGACCTTCTGATCAGCAAACCCAAGAGGATCAGAGGTTTAGACCACAGTGCCAACCCCACCCACTGGCACATCTGCCCTGCCTCCAAAGCCTCTGGCCGATCACATGGGATTTCACATCTGAACAAGGACCCAAGAGGATATTCTCAGACTGTGAAGTTCATTTCCCAAATTTTGTTTTGGAAACAGACAACCTTGACATGAGCTTGCATGTGCTGGATTGTCTGCACATACACCTTATTTGAACAACCAGTGAGGTTGGGAGTTGGCATTGCTGGTTGGCAGGGTGTGTGTGTGTGTGTGTGTGTGTGTGTGTGTGTGTGTGTACAGTGCACTCTTGCTCCTGCTCCCCCACAGTGGACAGGGAAGCAATCAAAGTATTGAATGATCTGGTTTAAGGATGCCTTCGAAAGGCAACTGAATGGAAACCGAAAAGAAAAAGGGAAAGGCACTCTCCTATACCTCTGCCTGCATCTTCCAGAATTCTGCCTCCTTGGAGCTGTTTACTTCACAGTTAATGACCAAAACATCTGGCAGGCAGCGGATGTTGCGGGTCTGGACCTTGAAGAGCAGAGAGAAGATGTGCAATGTAAGGGCAAGTGACACAGATTCATGCTTGGTCCTACTGCTGCAGCGTTATTTTACAGCAGTGCTTCCCAAATTTGGGCCTCCAGCTGTTGCTGGGACTACAACTCCCATCATCCCTGACCTGCTAGCTAGGGATGATGGGAGTTGTAGTCCAACAACAGCTGGAGACCCAAGTTTGAGAAACGCTGTTTTGCAGTCACAAGGAATGCAAATTGATCTAATAATCTCTTGCTTTTTAACAAATGGCACCACCAGAGGTTTCCTAAGATGCCGACGGCTGAAGTGAGCTGAGATGAAATCATATTTACCCCCTAGAATTTCTTGCCCCGTCTGCGGTATCAGCTTAAGAATTTTAAACTTCCCAGCGTAAGGATGCTTTATCTGAGACCGTACTAGCTGGAGACCTGGAAACTGATAGAACTTTGGGTGGTCAGTTTGGCTGATGCAGCCTTGCAATACACATTAGATTCCCCTGTATCAATGCTGCAGCCCTGGTCCAGGTAGTCCATTCACACGGGCTTGCTCTATGCAACTGTTCCCTCCCCACTTACCGTGGGCTGGTATTTCTCGCAGTTTTCGCACCAGGCTTGGGTGTTCTGTTCCAGGCAGATGCTTCGCTTTAAGATCTGAGCAAATTCATAATCCTTGATCTTATCTTAAAAGGAGGGAAGGAAAAAAGGAGGGGATTTTAATTTCCAAAAAGATCCAATCAAGAAGTACCATGTTTTTCGCTCTATAGGACGCACTTTCCCCCCCTGCAAAAATGAAGGGGAAATGTGTGTGCATCCTATGGAGCGAATACAGGCTCCTTGGCTTCAGCGATAGCAACGCGAAGCCTCCAAAGCACAGAGGGAGAGCTCCCCCCGCACTCCAGAGGCTCCGGGTTGCTTTCGCTGAAGCTACCTGAAGCCCCCGGAGCGCAGCGGCAACTCCCACTGCACTCTGGGGGCTTCAGGCAGCTATCCGCAAGCCTTCGGAGTGCAGCAGGAGTTCCCGCTGTGCTCCGAAGGCTTGCGGATAGCTGCCTGAAGCCTGGAGAGTGAGAGGGGTCGGTGCACACCTA